ATCATTTGAAGATGCTCTGGCCGTCTGCCATCACTATAATGCTTCCCTGGCTGAAATTGATAATGAAGAAAAGGAAAATTTTATCGAAGCAAATGTAACTAGTACAAGCTATACCAATAATTGGATCGGGTTAGTGGATACTCCAACTCTATCACATCCCACAGATCATTCATGGTTAATTAGTGGATTATCACTCCGATCAACGGGCTACTCAAAATGGTATTTACGTCAGCCAAATGCTGCTAATCAAGCTTGCGTAGTAATACAATGGTTTGATGAACGTTGGCAATGGTGGGATTTACCATGCTCTCTTGGAAGAGTTTATATCTGCGAAAAGAGTAAGTTAATTCAATTTTATTGGGCTATCAATAGCAGTCACTAAATTCATAGCTATTCTTTCTGCTTAACTGAGGATAATGAACAATATCGCTTTATCGAATAGATGATAGCTGGAGTCTTTGCAAAGATTGATAGCGCGATTCGAAACCCTATAACATTGATAAAATTGCATCTTTTATTCTAGTTTTACCTATGCCAACTACAGAACCAACAACAATTCTACCAACGACAGAGAAATCAACAATTGACGCAATAATGACTCAAGAGCCGACAACAAACTCACCAACCACAGATTTATCCACTACCAATGAACCGACAACAGATTTGTCCGCTACCAATGAACCGACAACAGATTTAGCCACTACAAGTGGGCCTGAAACTAATCCACCAACTGCCAATCAAGCTTCGACCGATCCAAGTGCTGCAGTTGATACTACTAATCCATTAATAGAGACAACCGAAAATTCAGCAACAAATCTATCCACTAATGATCATTTTATGATGGCTACTAATGGAGCAGCTAGTGCTGCTTCACCAAATCAGCTTGCTACAACCAAAGAAACAACTAACCAGCCAACAATCAATCAATCTTTCCACACCATAAATACCTTGAGTACTACCAGTAATTCATATAGTACTCCGCAGATCTCCTATTTTTTGCAACAGGTAAAGAGAATAAATAACTTTACAAGTAGTTGTTTACTACTGTGATAGAGAGTTCTATGATTTAGTGAAAGTCGATTTAGTACTATTGCTACTTAGAAATTGACGTAAATGAGTTGATTGAAAAAAAAGATTCTTATAGACTTCAAGTGTGAGGTAGTTACCATAGGGTAGAGTATTAGCTGGCGTAAAGTAACGTAAGAATAGTCAACACTCTGACTATTGCAACAATTTAATAAATCTGAGGCAGAGACTATATGTACTGTATTGAAAATGTTAGAGATAGAACACATATAGAGGACATAATTGTACAATTAGATACAACATCTACCATTACATGCGTAGTCTATATAATAGCAAATGATTGTAGGAGATTATGAAGAATGCAAGTGCTATAAATTAACTAAACATGATAAGATACAGTATATTTATCTATAGTACGGTAAGACTGTCAAGGTATCCCTGTTTAAGAACAAGTTAGGATATCAATATTAAGTAAATACTACAAGCACAGCATAATCTGAATGTAATACAATTACCTTTTGATGTCATTCTGTAACAATTTATCCAGTAAGAGCTATTGGACGATAAATTAGCTTCGATCGAAGTTGGACACCTGTTCGTTGCTAACTATATCTTATCTTTCCATCAGATTAATAATACAGAGAATTTCACTATCCAAAAATCTATTGAAATTATCCGTGAATTAAGAGTCGAGCTTCAGTTAAAATTAAATGCACAATCAGACGAATTAAAAGCATATAGTCAAGGTTTAGCAACAGTTGTTAATCGTACCGACGTTACTAAAGCAAGCTTAAGCGACAAGAAAGAAGTAGCCGAGGTAAGCATGATTTCGTTTTATGCAATGGCTTGCCGCAACCTTAGGTATAACTAAGTTACTCTACTGCTCCTTTACTTTTCAGCTTGTCTTCAACAGTGTTGAAAAAATGACATCGGTTACCGAAATACAAAATGATAGCCAGGTTGTCAATTCTTTCATAAGTGCTGATATTGTAGTTAATAACATAGCTGAAAGACAGATATAATGTTGACATATTGCTTAAATATCTTCTCATTAGGCGAGTACTCTTGTAACTGAATACATCCAAATCATGGACCAAATTGGATCTCGAATTGCTTCTAGTATGAAAATTGGAGAATCTATTGAAATTGTTAGCAATGAAACTGGTAAGCTTTTAATGTATTTTCTATCTAAATTTCGTACTACGAGATTTTTCATTGACATATTCCTTAAATTGCAATAAACATCTCAGATATCTCAAGCTATCATTCATTCTAGCCAGAAAGTAAAGCTTAATTAGCTTAAATTTGAATCTTCATATTCTTCTATGTAGCGTCAAAATTTAACATCGAAGTAAAAAGTTCACAAGAAGTACAGCAATATGGATATAATCATACATTAATAGCTGGAAATAATGATCGCTACCATTTCGGAGTTTCAAAATCTATCTTTGGATCAGGAGGTGATTGATAAATCTAGAAATGAATTTTAATACCATAAATTTCTACTGCGTATATCACAAAAATATTTACGACACTTTTGTATTCTTATTCTCACATATACCAATGATAGATCCCAAGGTTGAAATTATTACCGGAGTTTATCAATTCTTAGGAGGAATATTAAATCAAACCACCGCTTCAACGTAAGTCTAATAGAGTTTATCAAAAACCCAGGAAATAAGTTTCGTTCGTATAAAATTGATAAAAACTTATGATCTCAATATTTTGATGACAGGCAGAAGAAGTTGTATTCACAAATTTTATCTTGTTCGGTTAATCCAAAACTACCATCTTACCAAGAATATTTCTTTACCTATCAAATTCCATATACTATCAGTACTAATGGAAATTCGGTAAAGCAAGAATAAATATAATTAAAATATGATTATGAATTCGTTAGTAATAGGAATGTGCTTCACACAACTTAGTTGTTACATATGAGTGAATAGTCTTTCGTTACATCTTGCGATTAAGGCATCAATTCTAATTAAAATTCGGTAACGTAAGAATAGACATCATTAGAATATGTTTATGAATCTAACAATAGTAGAACAGTTTTTATCCAACTTAATACTTAGCTATTAAATGTAAATGGATCACATTTCGTATATTACAACTTACGGAATACTCGTATTCTAATCGTAAGTAGTTTTTCAGCATGATCAGCAATATTGATTTGTAAAGTTTAGATTTACACTCCTTTTGCGGTAACTGTACATATCATATAGATTCAAAGTTGAAACTAATAATATAATTTATGCTTGTAATAAATTATACTGTAAAATTTATATAGTATTACCTGGTACAGCTAAAGCCTGCCGACCGGAATAACTAGCAATCTATAATATTACTTAACTCATCTATGTTCCTATGCTATAAGCTATTACAGCTCATGAGAGGATTACGTGAATGTCTTCAAATAAATAGGATGCGAAACTATAGCTTAATTCACTTCTACGGCAAATTATATAATTCTCATATCTACAATCTACTCATTTATCAACAGAGTAACCTTCCGATGGTAACATCATCATCGGCCAACAATACAACGATGGAATGTGTATACTGGAATTTAACGACCAAGTAAGTTAAAGTAGCAGCTTTAGTAATATATTACATAACATCACCTATCAAGTATAAGTGTTATTGAACTAAGTTTATAATAAAATTATAAGTACAGTATATGATGAACCAAGCCAATCAGAATTAAACGGACAATAATATGCTTATGAAAATATACCTTTGAACAATTTACAATCCTTCCTTTATCTGTCCATTGGAATATTATGTTTACTTCTAATTGCTAATGCTATAAAATAATAGCACTTAATTATTACAATTGATATCTGCCATCAATAAACTGGAATAGCATTATCTGTCTCGCTTTATTTTGAATAGCAAATGGTCCGACGATGGCTGTAAATTATTGTCCAGCAATCAATCGCAGTATGCAACTTGTGCCTGTAATCACTTAACCCATTTCGCACTATTATTGCAAGTTTCAGATGTAAGCTATAAATCAGCCCAAATTGTGTAATAAAATATGAATCTGAGCAATGAGATATTGACAGGAAATTAGTTTACTATTGATTGATATCTGTAAATATTCACTACATAAGAATAAGTAATAAGACCTAGGATCTTCTTACGAGTGTATTTATTTCATGCTAGCGATTATACAGGTAAAATTTAATAAAAATATCGCAATTTCAGTTTGAGCAAATAATTTATATAATCAAGTATCAAAAAAAGTTTTATAATTATTAAAGAGCGAAAATAGAACATCGCATCAGTCATTCTCTTAATTTATAAGTAAACTTGTTAAAAGCTGCAATTGAAGCTAAAGAGCTGCTTCAATTCCCGCATATATAATTTAGGTTCAGATAAATAACACGGAACATCTGGATAATCTTGGAGTTCTTGCTAATATTGGCTTGGCAATATCATTAATATCCATCTGCCTAACATTATCTGTATATACCTTCCTAAGGTTAGTACACAGTATGTGATCAAAGTTTATTGCCTTGCAGAGGATACAATTATGTTGTCTTGTAGTTATTAGCCTTAATCGAATATTTTGTCTATTTAATCATCACGTGTTAATAAAATTTTTATATGCAAAACGGATTAGGTTAAATTCTGAAAGATTTACAATCCATAAGAATTTACTAGTAGCTCTGCTGCTAACGCAAATTTTCATCTTTACCGGAATGTACATAGCCAAGAATGCAGTATGTTCATCTACTGAATCTTCTTTCCTGTATTTTTAAATTGATCGATCTTTAATAACATAAATATTCGATAACATAATAGCGTTCGGCCATTTTTACCCACTATAAAAAATTTATGGTGTATGATAGTCAATTTAGCTCATCTAACCCTAGTCGATCAATGTTATAGCATTTCATTTAATGACTACTTCGCTAAATGAAGTAAATTAAATATCTACGTTTCTCTTCAACTTTCAGATTATATGCAAGATATCAGCAGTCTGTCTACACTTTTTCTGCTTAGCATCATTTTCATGGATGTCTGTGGAGGGGATTCATTTATATCTACTCATCATTACAGTTTTTAATCAAAAGAGCAAGAAACTCTACTACTACATTTTCGGATGGGGTAAGCATAGCAATGACTTGATACTTATTGAAATAGATAGTTCGACAATTTAATATTCATTATATTGCCATGTTAAGTAAATTCTAAAACCGTGATATTTTACTTTGATAAATAATGATTTTTGAGCTAATAAAACGTTACTCAAGACGATCACATACGGTATCATTTGCAATTAGGACTGCCAGTGATTGTGGTTGGCATATCAATGTTGGTTCGCTTTGATAATTATGGAGCTAATGAAAGGTACGAGATTAATGTTATGAAATTCTTACATCGGAGTGATATTAACGAAGTTCGATTACTAAAGACAGTAGAAAGCTATAACAGTAAAAATAACAAAATTTTCTAGATATCCTTTAACCTTATCTAGTTATATAATGTCCACGTATAATAATTACGAAAATGTAAAAGTCATATCTAAGCGAGTGCACAGTTTATGACTTCCTACACTTTAGCGTCTAGATTTTCAATAAAACCAATAGAAAGAAGCTCAGAAAGCAAGTTCAAGATAGCAATTAAAGTTATCCATGTTTGAAGTTCTATCGATGTTCTAGCTGTTTCAGATTGTTGTATTCGAGCAACAGTAAAAACCATATTTTGTATTAGAATTAATTTTCGTTTGAATTTATCTCCTGGAATGGCAAAAGTAATACAATATCATAGTTAAACACTTACAATAGTTAGTTATGTCGTAATGAAGAACCTTGATAATTAAACAATTAAGCTGCTGATCAAGCAACATATCACCTTATTTACACCGTACTTAAGTAAAGGAGTTGTAATATTTAGAGAACGACTACTAATAAAATTAAGCCATAAATAATTAAATATGTGAATATGCATAATGGTTCTTATACAACAGAGAGCAAACTGGTTTAGTGGAATTAAAAACCTAACTAAAACGATTTTTAATGCAGGTGTTGGTTATCAACTGCCGATGGATCTCGATGGGCATTTGTAGGGCCAGTTTTGGGTATAACTTTGGTAAGTGTTTATAATGTTAAATAATGGGTAATAGTAGCTCAGATGCAAGATCTGCATGTGGTTCCTGCTGTTTCATTCGCTATCTAGTTTATGAGACCCTTTCTTAATCTATTGGCATTCTCATAATCTTAGATCAACACAATCATCATGATTGCAGTAATTAAGGTCACTGTAAGCTCCAGCACATCCGTTTTACATAAACAAGGCAAAACCAAATTTACTGGAATCAAGTACGAATATATTGATTTATAATTTTGCTATTATTTATGTTGACAGCAAGCTATAAGAATCACTTGAATAAAATCGATCATTAATGTCGTTATTACGTTAAAAAATTAATTTTGGAATTATAGTTTCATACAAATAAATGTTCTAATTCTGTTTCATTCTATAATCGTGAGTATACTTTAATCTCTCATTTACTAAAGGTCTATGGTTAAAGCAACCGCCATATTATGTCCGCTGCTTGGATTAACTTGGATATTTGGCATGATACCTCTAACTGATCATACCATTGTGTTTTCCTACCTATTTGTGATATTTAGCTCTCTGCAGGTACTGTCATTTCTATTTTATCGATTAAATTTTGTTAGTACTATTTTAATCTACCTTGCGGCTTGGAGTAGTCACCATTTTTATTGTTCCAAGATGAAGTAATTGTATCGCCAGAATTTTACATTAACATGCAACGATCTTATCCTTATAATAAAATTTTTTGTGACTTATAAACGGCTTCATTAATAATAGTGGCTAATAATATTCTTTTATTTCAATTTTAAGCATAATAATTAAGTCTCTTTTTGAATCAATTCCTGTAGGGTCTATCAATCTTCGTCTTTCATTGCTTATATAACTCTGAAGTAAGAAGATATTATAATTTATATCAGACTATGGAGCATAGCAATGTTTGATTTCTTAATTTATACTAATATTATTATATTTACTAATTAAGGTCAGACAAGCATTCAATAGAATGATGGAGAAACGACTTGTACCGGCAAGCTTAACTAAAAACGAAAAAGTACGAAAATATTTTCATTATAATATCTGTAAACACATATTTTAAACTAGTTTCATTGACTGGTTATCATAGTGAATTTCAAGATTTTATTCATTGTATTTATTTGTTATAATTTTGTATAGTCTCAAATATCAAGTTCACGTCCTGCCCTCTCAAGGACCATTAAAGGTAAACTTGCATCATTTGCGTAGCTTGCTCTTAGTTGATGATTCATGGCAAGTTATATGCTGTATGCTGTTATTGTCATCGCAAAAAATGCGTAATACATTGGATATATTGCTTGAGTAATTGTTAATATGAATCAATTGGAATTTATCATAAGTATATTTAGTTACCTTTCCATATCCAAAATTTCATATCATAAATTTATCTTAACCAAAAAGCATTCCTCATTCCTGATATCTAATAATTACGATTTTAGAATCTACAGATACAGAACAAGAGTTAAGAATTGTGCGAGTTAATACCATGTCTTCTGATGAGGTAGGTGTCACGGTACGCCGTTACTAATTAAGTAACTGTAAATTAATGAATGCTTATGAATAGATAAGATAAGGTTATGTGCTATGTTTTAATGCGCTTGTAGCTAATAATAGGATGGTAGAAATGAGATAAAAATAGAAGTTATTAGCAGTTAATTTACTGTAGGTTTATAAGGTATGTTAATCTCTAAAAATTGAGCTGTCTATGGACGAAGGTTGAGCGTCTTAACACCTGATAGCTTGTAGCTATCTAAGTCTGAGGATATCGACATGTATATTTAGTAATGGTATTATACTAATTAATGTAACTTGCAAAGCATGAATTCTCACTCGTTAATATTGGAATTCACTGTAGAAACCTATTTAAGCGCGTGTGTTTGTAGAATAAAGTAAGTAATTGCTCAAGAAACGGCAAGACTCATATCGTGAAGAATAGTATAATAATTAGTCAGTTGTCTGTGGAGATCAGCCGAGAAATCGAGTTCTCAAATACTTCTCTCATAGAAACTGAAAATACTGGGAGAAATAGCCCAAGTTTTAAGTAACTACACTAGAGTTCTTTACTTTCCTTTGCCACAAGTGAGGGTTGTGATAGTAGGTTCAAGATTTATGCTGATATTTAAGTAGAAACAAGAGAACACACATCAGTAATAGGATATGCCCTTTTCGCTACCCGTCTAATAAAGAAATAAGCTTATATATGTGCTAACTCTAATCGTAAATTAGTACGGCATAATACTTTATATTTTAATCACCCTTATAACAATTTAAATCATGAAAAAATAGTCATCACAGATACCAGACAATAATTTCAAGCACAAATTTTAACTATCATTGAATTGAAATAATCATTGTTAAAAGTAATTGGTTAGCTGATAAATTCATTATATTAATTAATTAGCCATTTTACATGTTTTTTGCTTGCTGTCTTGCTGTATATTGCCACTTATCCTTAGCCTATTCTAATGTATAATATTCTGCTAATGTGTTATATTTTTCCAGGTTTAAGTACTAATATAGTGATGATAGATTAAATATTGGTCAATCTTCTAGCTTTCACCGACATCTCTAAATATCAACTTTTATCTTTTTCAGTCTAAAGAGTTTCCAAATAGTGCAACGGAATCACAGATCAACTTGCTAGATAATCCAGGAGATTGATGAAATCGCTATCAAGTGATAAAAGATAGAAAATAAATAGTTAGATTAGAAGATATTTATGATATTTGTTGCTAATTCCTTTAAATTATAATGGATATCGATAGTCCATAATATTTACAATGAGTTCATGTAAGCTATAGAAAGGACTAATTTTCCGAGTGTTAAGTTATAATTTAGGTGAGATTGCTATCTAAAAGTGCTTATGTTACTCCTACTGATACATAGGAGCTCTTTCATTATCCAATTATATCAACGCATTCACTTTGAAATTATCTTAATATATCAAGCTTCTTGGCTTTATTACGTACTCGAGAGCAAGATTGTAGCCTATAAAATCTAAAAATTTATTTATTATACAAATATAATGTATGTAGTATTAAGATGGGTAGACATATTGTCAGGTAACTAGATCGATATATATCATACGTAACTAACTATCGATATTATGTCGGTTGAACATACTAGTGTGAGAGCTAAACAACTAGATACATTGATTAATAGCTGCTGTCTTGACACGAATTGCAAAAAATGATTTATCTACAGTATATTTCCATATCCAAATCAATTGACATGATATAAAAGTGATAGAATATAATCCCAATAAAGCGTTCATTAATAGCTATTTTAACTCAATATCTTTATTAAAAGATGCTATCAAATTTAACAATTGAATCCTTCCGTATACTCTTGCACCAATATCAAAAATACTTAAATTATGAAGCTTAAATTAAAAAATTAGGGCTATAAAGTTAGATATATCACCTATACCATACGATATTGGCTTTGAAACTTTGTGATTTGATTAAAATTAGCATCGGATTTTCTATCTTTAAATGTTCCATGTATAGACCAGTAACATGTGTAAACGTGAAATTCTTCGCTTTGTAACATGTATTGTACTACTGAGAATAACAATAAAAATTAAATTTTTGGTCATAACCAGGATATGTTTTTAAAGACATAACAGCTCTTGTTTCCTCCTGAAATAGTTTGATATAATGTAGATTTGAGTATTTCACTGTCTATATTGAAAATTAATATAATACATGCATAAAAATTTTAAACCGAACATCAAGTTAACTGGAGCGTTTCATGTTAGTAAGTTTTAATAATTAGCTTGGACAATAATCTCCTCTAATCATTTTATACCTAGGTAAGAATATTTAATTGAGAAATCTTAGTATTGAAACCATAAATGCTTGTAATGTAACTTAGTATTGTGATTGTAGACTGTTAGCCATGTTTAGTATAATGTACGATAGATATTTATCCTAAGAGATATTTGGTAGCTATAACTATAGACTGTAGTGGTAGAGACTCTATGCTACAGTACAGATGACTATATACAGTAAGCTGTTGAGTTACTAATAAGGTTATAGGTAAAAATAGAACTGTAAATCATATATTAGGATATGGTTAATTCATTGTACTTTGGCTGGTGTGAATGATGTCTATGTAAGTACTGTAGTCGTATTGGATTAATGATGGTCCGCAGTAGAATAGTCTTACTAAGAATAATTTAACTATGTGTAAAATAAGGTAAAAGGTTGCTATGCGGATTGTAGCTGCGAATGCTACGGAAAGTATAAAAGCATACAACTTTAGATTATTCTGTTAGGTCGTTCTAGAAGTCTTTAGTAGTAGTATTCGGCTAGAGAGAGCTGTGTGTAGTTAATCTTTGTATAAGATTCAATAAAACCCTTATTTTCCTAAAGTTTGGAATCTCGTGATTGGTATATATCACAATGCTATATTATAAAACTGAGTTATTTGAGGTATAAATTTTGCCAAGTATAAAATTTTTTACGGTAGAAAATTTTCATTCATATGTTTACTAATACACTAGGTACTACAGTAGCTGTTACTTTCAACTCTGGTTTAATGGCTTTAAAGGCAGGAGTAGATATCAAGGAGTCATGCCAAGGTGATTTGTCATGCACAATTAAGGAATACTAGTATAAGATTTTGAACGTATCCTTTGTATGTATATCTCCCAAACCAATACTGATGACGAGAGCTGCATTCTCATTCCAGATCTTGGTCCCCGTATTTTATACGTTTGCATATTCATATTAAAGATATTTTTCTCATCATTATGAGATTGATTGTACGCAGCTTTATTGTACATCTGCGATCGTTTTTGCCCTAAACGGGTATAATGATCTAAATTTTTGACTTAATTAGATAATTTGATGAAAAAATATCTGCAGCGAGGTCTGGAGTATACTATTAAACTTATGCAAATTCGGCAGAATATGCATTAAATACATATCAAGAACAATAAGTTTTGAATTATATATTAGTTAAGTGAAATAGATGTTGCGGTAATTATTCCAGTAGAAAGACGGTCATAAAAATTTCCATTAATACCATACGAAAATCTTTTCATGAAAACATTTTACTGGAAGGCTACTTCTAGATTAAAATATAAAATCAATCCTGGAATATCAATCCTAATTGAAGACCAAAAGAAAAAACTTCATTATAAACCTAATGAAACATGTCAAGTTAAAACAATTTTACTTAATATTGGGCAATATTAATAAATATCAGTCTATTTTAAGATACGATTCATTAATTTGATTACCTATCCTATTTTGCCTACAGCGATAATAAAATAATAGCTAATCTTGAGCGAGCTAATTTAGCAAGTAATAAAAAGCTACTACGATGATGCTATGTTGAATGATGGATTGTATCGACAAACTTTATGAACTGAATATATTCCATGTTTACTTCTGTTAAGGGAAGCGATTTGAAGTTAATTAATACTTGAATGTCTCACCTAATCCTAATTTTCCGTTACCCTAAAGCATTAAAAGGTTTTTAGTAAATTAATCTTTCCAAAGAAGACAAGAACAGAAATGAAATAGATATTCTAATTATTATAGTGTCGCATTTTACAATGAAGAGATCGATATACAGATTTTTGGCCATAGCAATCAGTGCTTGTTCATTATAAGAAACAATGCTAATTAAATACTACATAGGTTCCTTAATTAAATTAATGAAATAGTCTATACTAGGGCTAATTCATCCATTTTTATTTAATAAGATTATGAAATGTGAAATAAATTGGAGACATACATTGTTTCAAATACTAAGATGATAGCGATTGGCTATTAAAAGAATAAATACTCGTATAGCTGCTCTTGAGAGGCAAATTACGCAGAGTTCAACTTTGGCTTATGCCAAATCATGAGAAAATGGTTGTCTAAGTGATGTCATAATTAGCAAAGCATCAAAGAGCTTGCTTTAAATGCGCTATTACGAACAAAAAGTCATAAATGTCTCTGTTAACTGACATGGCAAATGCCTTGGTAAAATGAATCTAATAAGATCGAAATCATACCATAGTGGAAAGATGACAAAGAAAATCATTTTTCTTGACTGTATTAAAGGTTATTTTAATATTCTTATTCTAGCTGTAAAGGAAGCATTTTTTATAAATTTGTCGGCTAAAGTGAATTAATTTTTTTTTCTTTCCTATAATCAACTTTTAGTAGAAAAAGAATTAATAAATAAAGGTCAATAGAAAAGAAATTACGTTGAAATAAATACGTAATGGAACTGACATTTCTTTCTTGGAAAAGAAAAAAACAGAACTTTGCGCCTGCTTCGTACTAAATAAAGATTTCGGAAAATATATGAAAAAAAGTGCTCCATTGCTAGCAAATTAAGGCGTTATTTATAAAATTGATAAATTGGATGAACGAATACCGTTTTGAAACATAGTTATTAAAATCGATGGTTACATTACTATGGAATATAATAATAATTTAACAAGTCCTTAACAGTCGTATAATCTTGCCTATAATCTATCTTTAGTTGATCAAATATCTTTTGATGGCTATGTTCGTAATAACTACTGAATGTGAAGATTAAATAAAATCTCAAAACAGTTTCTTTTGTTTTTTTGATTAGAAGATATAATTCCTTTTTTGTGCTAATATTGCACCTTAAATAAGGTGCGATATTTCAAATGCCAAATTATCGCAGCTGTACCGTAGATTCAAGCCTATATTAGTAGATAAAGCATGCTTAGGAAATGCTGTATTGCGTTGATACATTCTAACGAATACTAATGGGTATGTTTTATTTCTACAGAGATAGTTGGTAAATGTATACCGTTATTTAATCTTACCATTATCTTCGCTTAGTAAAATGATGTATTTGACGGAGAGTAAGGTTTATAGTGGAAGATTTACGCGCATAAGGTTATAGGATATTCGATAGAATGCAAAGATCTTTAATTATTTTGATCGATCATTCAGGAATGCAATTCTATAGTTTCTGTTTAGACGTTATATGGTGACATAATTTCTCACATACTGAATATTGTTACATAAAAGACTAAGCTACAAAATTCCATCAGTTTAAATGATAGCAACTGATTTACACATCGCATGGCTCATTAATATTAAATTTAGTTTTCAGTTTCTATAATACGCACTTTTCGTTTTTATTTTAGCTTTCGTATGAGTATGAACTCTAATTTTTCTGTATTAGAACTATTATTTTACTCTACTTTGATAAGTTTACTTTAAATTAAAGCTGTATGGGTAAGAAACACTAATAATACCGTCGCATCCTCATTTTTCGAGTTTTATTATGTATTTGAAAGAGTACGAAATTTTTTACGTCCTATTTGAAAGTTGGTGCATTGCCAATGATCAATTAACATTTATTTTGGCTAGTTCGGGAATTAATTAAGTTACTGGATTGGTAAAAATAAGTATCATTTATTATGGACATAGGGGAAGGTATATGGAATTTTTATTGATTTAATGCAATACAACCAAATAAGAAATAATATTGTAAACATCAAGCATAAGCTTGCTAAAGCATCATAGAATTCATCCACGTGAAATTCCTACAATATTCATTAATTTACCTTAGATAGATCGAATGTTCAACTTTTAAAGGATATGAATTACTGATAGCTGAATTGAAATTATTGATATCAATTTGCCTTGTGCACTGATAGGGTATTAAACGCTTAATCAATTTAACTGATCCATATCGTATTCTTTTATCAAACTTTAAATAGATGAAAGGATTTAAGATAACCGTACTTGTAGTTACTGCTAAAGAGAAAAACAAAAGCAAAAAATAACCTATGTTGTTCATACGTACATCCATGAATGATTGACGAGTAATAGCTAAACCGACCATTGATGCAAAGAATGGCCAGCTGATCAAGATATAAGATACAGAAATACTTAGTAACATTTTAATAAATCGCTTCTTTCTCAACGAGTCTTCTTCGCGCTCGACAGAAAAGGCATCCTTGGGTGTAATGTAACTCTTTTGAAGTTTAATAATTTTCCAGTAGATAACGATAATCAGTATTGCAGGCAGAAAAAATTCTATAATAGTAAATGCAATTAAATAGGCCGAAATCGATGGAGTTATTTCTGGAATATCACATTGCAATGTATCATTATGATGGACTCGAACAAAAACGATCACGGGTGCGGTCACTGATGCTGACGATATAGCAATAGCAACTTCTCCAAAGATCAAGATACGGTTTTTATTACGTCCATAGACATTAGAAAATGGTTTCATACTATAGTAGCGATCAATTCCAATCAAGCATAAATTCATCATAGATATACCATAAGATGTAAAGGTGAAATATAACGATACACGGCACATCATCGTACCACCATAATAATCTAACTGACGACTTGCAACTTGGATATAGCCAATAAATGATGCAATAGTACAAATAATATCTGATATAACAGTCACACGCATGACTTGATATGTTGTCTTTCTGAAATATTTATCGGTCATAAAAAGACCTAGGATGAACAGATTGACTATCAAACCTATCAAAAATATTGGAATGCCAGCTAGCGATGCATAAGAGTAGATCGTGGATGAAAAATCTATTTGTGCTACTTGATTTACGCTGAAATTCATGATCTTTAAATCGCTGTAGCTGCTACTAATCTGAAATAAATACACCGATGTCACAACGACAGAGATTGAGATTAGATGCTCACTCTTGTTTTACAGTAATCAATTTATTAGAGAGTGAAAGAGCAAAAATGATTAGTAAATTTTACTGTTATTTCCTTTTATCATATTTATAGTAATGCGTTTTATTACGCTCTAACTCTATTTCTAACGAATAATTTTCGACGTAGCAAAGTTAATAGAAACAAAATACTTACAGTAATGTCGTAAATCAACAGCAATATTAAAGAAATAAATAACAAAAAAATCCAATTTTCGTCTCCTATTTGATGATTGTACTATATGGTATGATGATTATAGGTTATAGCGAATTCCTTTAGCACGACGCTGTCATAATCAATAGTGAAATACAAACCATGCCAATCAATTTCTTACCTCCGATCAAGAAAGTACAATAGATTCATGAAATATCGCTTCTTTTCGACGATATTTCATAACTATTTCATTAAGTAAGTTTGAAACCATGGCGAAGGTAAAGCAGAAATTGCATGCTCAGCTATTGTGTCAAATTTGAACAGTCAGGACAATATCAACTGATCAGGGTAATATTGTAGCTTATAACAAACTAGCCTAAATGATTTCATTTAACAAATAACAATACATTTTTGCTTGTCTTTGGTAAACATCTGGCAGTAATTAGAGATATAGAAATGGAAGTCATCATTATAATTAATGGTCATACTTGACAACTAGAATATAATGTAACTGTATTATCTTAATATTTCGTTATTCAAAGATAGACTGAATAGATAGGGATTGTTTTTTTAATAACATCCTTTAGGGTATCTGATTCATTATGAGTAACCATGTAATCTGATTGATAATTCTTCGTTATTCATTCTCAAGTGAAGAAAATTCTTGGAAATTCTGTACGTATTAACTTATGACAGCAGTAGTAGGATTGACAGCATGACTACTTTTGATTAGTAGGCGAAGTAAGTAGGGCGAGAACGAATAGCACCATGTACTAGCAGGAATTAAACTTATTTCAGAGATAATATATTTAACCTTCATTTTTGAGAGAATTTTAGTGGAATTCGTTAGTCGTTATAGATCTACTTAATTATTTATCACTATTTCTGTTTCGACTTCTGATCATTGCACTAGCTTATCTCTATATAGCACTCAGAATTTTCTGTTACCGATACATATCCTTAATGACGTCTAGCCCTATTTCTGTTTAACATCCTATATTTTATAGCATCACGAGTTATGCATTTCGTTCGATAACAGTCGAGACATCGGCTATTTCAGTCTGTTAAATGAAAGTTATTTGAAAGTCGACTGTACCCTCCTTTATCACAGGTAAACTACAGTGCCCGATAGACAGTAAATACGCGTATTTAGAATAATAAACACCATTGGTCTGTGCATATTTGCTCAAATGGAATTTAAATTCATTATGGATAAAGCGCTATTGATACTGTTGAGCTACATATTGGACTTGCAGACGAAGAAAACTCGAGTCATAATGTTTATTCGATCAAAAGTACAAGCATGTTTTACTATTGATCAGTCAATATGGGATTTATTTTTAGAATATTTTGAGCTTAGAGTATATTTGTTAAAGCATATGGCAATCCTTGACTATCGTTATATTATTACATAGCAGAAATAACTATATGCAATATCTTTGACATTGACTTTTCTAAAATGATTTTTCTTGGAAATTGCTTAATATCTATTCCTGTAGTAGAAAAGCACCAGATGGAATGAAGTAAATAAGTATTAATTTTATTATTCACGCCGTAATAGGCACATTGGCATATTTCACAACAATTTGTGGTTCTTTCATAAGCTTCGAAATAGAACTACATAATAAAGATTGAAATATATGCAATTGTTACGCAACATGAATGCTAGTCAAATTTTATTGTCTTCAGCAATAACTGTATACGACTCAATAACTTAAGATGTTGTCATATAACGATATACTACTTGTGCCGCCGCCTAATATAATATGTCATTAATATACCAATTTTGGAATGGCACAGCTATGGCTCTGTGATAAAATTGATCACGAAATTCCGGAATTTATCGAAAATTAGGATTTTATTAGATCTTTATACAAAGATACACCACAAACAGTTCTACTGTAACCAAATACAACTACTAGAAAAGCTTTTAGAAAAATTTTCTAAATAGCCGAAAATGCCTTCTAATATACTTTTTGTAGCATTCACAGCTACATTCAGTATAGTAAAATTTTATCTTATTCTACAAATATTCAGATTTTTATGAGCAACATTTATGACAGCAAAAACAGAATCGCTATAGTTGAAATGATTGTCGTTTTGTAGTTGTACGGAAAAACTTAAAGATGCGCAGATGAATATGAAATCACGTGTCGAGAATATCATTCGTGCGCTTTTTTTCGCTCTTGCTGCACGAGAAAACATCCTTGAGAAATTAATTAATTATTACGTCATCAATGATATAATTTTTGTCGAATAATGAATCATACGTTAACACCTAGCCATTAATTAACTACTATTAAATGTCATTGATAGTGTGTCGTGATTCTTGCTACATTTAGCATGTAGACTTGGCTATAAATTTATTATTGTTTTGCGCCAGCGAAGTTTGTGAGGCTATATAAAAGTCTTAAAGCTCTTAATTGTCGGAGTTGATAAGTTAGTTGATAACAGATGGTTACCAGCGGTTAGTAGTAGATTATAAGTTGTAAGTTCAATTAGTCATTTTAATAATCAGATTTTAGAATAAAGTTTTGATTCTTAGAGTGAATATTCTATCGTCTAAGACTCAAATCTAAGTTTGTTAGATTAAAGAGTGATTAGGGTTAATTGTTTAGATAGTTAAGACTACTTTAGAGGAAAGAATCCCATTTATTTTTGTATTGCAATCTCGGTTAGGGCAATCCTTTCGTATTATGTTGTTATGATTTAAAAAATACGTTCTCAGAAACATACTAAACCGCTTCTTGATCATGTTAAAGTCGATTTCAGTCACCTCAACTTCACGTGCTTTCAAATTACAACAAGCACTTACACTTTATATCTCGGTATTTTTAAAAAATATACCAGAACGCGACATTCGCATGATGATATTGTCTGGGCGGTTACAATCTAGAATTTATCGGCAGAGAACCTAGTTACTGGAGATTCCAAATTGGTCAATTCGTCAGTAGTGAGATTGGTATAGATTACTTTGATCCACCGTAGTTTCATACATCTTGATTCATACCAGAACGAATCGATAGCAATATCACTCACAGGTAAAATAACAATCAGGATAAGGGCAGTGATTGCGATAACAATATGTTTGCAAACGCTTTAATGTAGCCTTATGGCTATCATGAGGTGTAGTTACTTCGTGCTGCTCCTAGAAATGTTTGTCTTTCCAGTGTATTTTACCTAGAATTAATCTTCGTGCAGTAGATAGTTTAGGTAGAATGCAACATGATATATGGTTTGTATCTTCATGGTGAGTTCATTCATTGCATGTCCATGGTATACTATGTTATGTTCTATTACTCTCCGTATTAGGGATTATTACTGGTTATGTTCCTCATTTTAGGGATAATTACTGTAGCGAGATTATGTTTTAAAACATACTAGTACAAACTCCCGTCGCTTTGCTGACGGTTTACGATAATGTACCCATTTGTTAATAATTAACAGATAGTATTACCATTCAACATTATATATATACAGTATATCCCGGTAATGGCCAGGCACTACTATATTCACAACTATGCTTCTAGAATACTACTTTTCAATAATGCGTTCACGGATCAAACCTTATTATAGTCTTTGATAATAATTCGGCAATTATAATATCTGGCCTACATATCCTAATGTGAAGAATAATGCTACTGGACAGATTAAAATTATATCAACCATTGCTGAGTAGTAATATTATGATTGAACACTCATTGGCAAGTTTAATTTGCATGATTTTACAACATTTCATTAACATTCGATTACTCTATAACGCTGATTAGAATATTATTAATGTATTACAAAGGAACAATAAAAGTAGTATGAAAATTACTCCCTTACATATCTTTAATTCATAATGCAATAAACTTTATTTACTTTACGTTCGGAATTAAAGCATTACATTTTTGTGGCTGCAAAATGTGTTATATAAACTGATATTTGCCTAAACGCTTTATTCTAAGTATAGTATTATAATCACTATTTCAATGTAAAGCTTCCCTATATACTACATTACGTGTCACTCGGCATATGCCATTATTGTAACCTGGCAAGTTACTGTTAACTCTATTATGGTGTAAAGAATTAATTTCCTTTCGATCAATAAACGCCTTTACATATTTACTGTTGTTGTGGTTTTATTAGCTTACCTTACAAATATAGAGTATTGATGTATTAAATGTAACGATATAAAAAGGAGATACGATAGAGAAAAAGGGAGACTTCTGGACACGTTAAACTTGAAAAAAGTCATAAAGTTGCTCATTGGCAATTTGTTATTTGCTGTTACTCGTCGGTAACGTGAAAATATAAAGGAGATTTTTTTTAAGTTCAACTTGTAGTCGAGACAGTATACCTACTCCCTTAGGAAGATTTATTGTCAAATATACATTTTTAGTGCTACCATCAGCTTTAATGGGAGGTCATCCAAAGAAATTATCTCCAAAGCGGACTTCGTAATCAGAATATTGTGTAACTAGCCACTTCTCTAGCAGACTTTCCGAGCTCCTATTTTGTCGTCTAGAATAAAGATTGCATCTTATGATATTACCATTATTAATGCTGTTGCTGCTAGTATTGAAACTGTAAACGGCAGAAGCTTCATCCGATGTCTTTGACAAGCATGGCGATGAATAACTTCGAACATACTGGAACATGTTGGAGGTTCGTGTAGCTCCGATCTTTTGTAACACTGAACATAAGTAGGTGTATATATGCTAGTATTAGAATGAAAATGAGTCTGCAGAAATTTTGAATTATTCAACCTCATTAGCCGTACCATTACCTAAAGTTATCAATTAATTTGGTTATTTATTTATTCCATATGATTTATTTAATTTTATTTTGCTTATTTTATGTTTATTTTTATTTATGTTATCTGCACAGATTCATTTAGATAATAATAGAAAGTATTATGCCTCAAGGAACGTGGGGCAACACTTTAATAATCATATGTTGTTTTAAGAGCAATTGCACTCGCACTTGTCACCATTGGACAATACAGTACATAAATTTTTATATTTTGTCCGGTGCCTAACCCTATCTCATAGATTAGCAGCAGCGGGAAACTTTTACGGTCTCACCTCGGACAAAACTTTAGGAATTGACTTGTGTTTTAAGGAGATAAAACACGTTATACCATCATCTGAACGAATCTTATGTAACTAATGGAAGAACAGTAGCTTTAGTACTCGACGAAATAGAAACCATGGCAAGTCGGATGGCTAAATCCAATCTCTTATTCATTCTATTGCACCTGAGCTGGTCTCATTTTGTAGTCAACTCGATTGCCGCTTGCACAATGAATCTTTTCCTCTTTTAAGTTCTTAAATGTGTGTTTGAATTTGATTTCGATGTGACAATGTCAAAATATTACTAATACATCAAATTGTCCTGTTCAAGGTAAGAAAACTCGTTATAATGTGTAGTGCTTGAATTTTACAATTCCTTAGGTTCACAATCGTTTAACTCAAAATCTGAGATATTAAAATTGAGCAAATTTCTAACGTGACACAAAATCAACAGAAGCACTTATTGGGAGAAGACGTTTCGCCAAGCCCATTTCATGTTACCTACTTGGTCCATACCTCTTAATGCGACCGTTTTTCTCCATCATGTCCTCTGACAATTTTTTACACAGAATTTTAATCGATAAACTGCTGATCATCCAGCCACTTAAAATTCAGAAGACTGCCTCTTCTTGAACATTTATACTCCCACTACTCATAGGAATGCACGATTATCAGTTACGGTTAGGACTTATGGACGGTCGTTTTTTTTCGGTGCAGGTGCAAACTTTGATGCCAATGTCTTAGTTGTAACAGAAAATTTCGTCGTGGTAACCATTAATTATCCACTAGGAGCATTAGGCTTTTAGGAGAAATACATCCTAAATTGAAGTGAATCATTACTCACCCTAATTTAGGTCTTAATGATCAACAGCTAGCTCTGAAAAATACGGAAGATGCTACTCTTATTTTTAACCGATTAGTGAATAAGACCAACTGTGCTTGACGATCTATGAGAAGAAGTTTGAGATGTTTAAGAATGTTACCGTATGAAACTATTTTAACCCAACAAAATGTTATATTAGGTGAAACCGTTCTAGCTTTTATACCAATTGGTAATACAGATCTAATTCCAGGTCATCCCATAGAATTACTTGATGAAGTTAAAGCTTTAAACATCACTACCTTTTTTGGAACATGTAAAGACGTTGGATCGTTATACTTAATATTACAACCTGGATTCGATTTTAAAGTTAATGGGGCATTTTTCAAAGTTGCTATTGCTTTTATGTTTGATGGTTTCATTCCCATAGCAAAAAAAGCCGTCATATTCCAATATACAGTACTGACTGGGTAAATATAACACAGCCTGTTTTGAATGATCGATGCCTATAGATATTTACGAGGATTACTTGTTTTTGGCTCCTGCTACATATTGTGCAACTCAATTATCACGCCATGATATACAAACTTATATATATATGAGTTTTCTCGTAGGATAGTTAAGTCAGGTTATTTTACAGAACCAGCTAGGGTTGCTGAAACTATAGAATTACCCTATGTCTTTGGTCATTCGTTTGAAAACTATATTTTAATAGAGATATATTTACTTTAGAAGATCATCAAGTTTCATTGGATATTATGAATCGATGTGGTAATATAATGCGGACTGGGAATCCAAACGGTCTTAATACTAATGATGTAGTCTGGCCTCAATTTGATAGTGATACTTTTCGATATTGTGTGTTTCACTTTAATCCATCTATTAGGCATCATTTAAAAAGTAACAACACGCAATTTTGGAATCGCTTTAAACCAGCATTGCTTGATGCTGTTTAACCAAAATAAACCAATGATGAACATTAAAAATTTTTGTACTAGCATTAACTTACCAGTACTGAGAATTAATATCGTAGCTATCGTATCAATGTAACTGATAGGAATGCAATCTCTTTCGTAAAGATAAAATAATTCGAAATAAAGTTCTCGTGTTAATATGTATTCTTTCTCAATGCTTCAGTAAATTTATATTTGACAAAGCCTTCAGTATATGTGATTGCATTTGCGATTATTGTAGGTTCAATTTGAAGACGAAGTACATCTAATTTTTATAGTTCAGGTTACAGTTTTAGACTTATGATGACAATTGATTACATTTATTCTAGCAGATGATTATATGAATGGACATACAGTAGCCTAGCCATCTCGAGTTAGTCAGTAAACATCCATAACTATAACTATAACTATTTCTCTGTTAATTTGGCTATTAAATACGACTTAACTGTTAGAATCTTAAGACAATATACATTAGATACATAATACAGATTTATACAGTACCATTGGAGGACTAGTATGATACACTATTCGATAAATACGCACGTTGTTTTATCCAATTACTTCATGTTAAATCTTAGCTTGTATAAATGAGCATCGGACGAGTAAATTAATCCATTCAGTATTACACGCAAGTAATACCAACAATTAAATCATTATCATCGAACACAGTATAAACTTGTTGATATTATTGTACTCTACTGTTAAGCAATCTATTCCAAGAAACACATAGATATTGGCTCTACTATTATTCGTGTAATAATATTTCAAAATTTATCTATATTTCATTTTGGAAAGACTGCATTATCACTACCACTCCAATCTCTTCAAGATATACGAATAAGTCATACCTGAATGTTGCATCATAAATATCACGATTGTATTTACATAAGGTCTATTTAGTGTTTATTAAAGGTAGCAGTTATTAACTGAGCAAGGGAAAATCTACTATAGCGCTAAAACTTTGTAATGAAATGAAAAGTGTAAAGATCAAGCTACAAAACTTTAATAAACTTAGATTCTACTTCCGTTGCACTCCGGTCCATTTAACAAAACTTTGACACCAAATAAAATTTAGGGAAATAATCGATCAACAATTTATTACAAAAAATGGAGAGAAGTATACAGTAAACCAAACAACCTTACAAATACTTAACATTAAGCATTAATAGAATAAGTGACAGACTTAAAAACTGTCAACAACCAAACAACCTTTCAAAAAGAAGAACGTTTTAACTTACGACAATTCGAACCCGAAGGCCTTTTAAACTCAACAAGTTCATCAAAAGAATCTTCTTCTACTCTCTCTCTTAAATTTTCCAATTGCACTATCATTTATAGGCTTCGAAGAGCCGTCAGAGGTATTTAAAACTAAACATTTTCTAACCAATTGCTCCTAAGATTCATTTTAGAAAACTACTTTGCACCATTTAAGAAAACAAAAATCATTCAAAGTTCAGACACAATTTACCCTATGATTCGCTTACAAAACACTAAAACCAACAAGTTAACTATAAAATACGTCAAACTTCACTTCTAATATAATTTCTATCATTAATACATTATAAAAGTCTAAAAATTAACCTTTAAACATCAAGATTTACTCATATAAATAACAGTCTAACTACTTAACAATCAACACAACCTCTACCAATTTCCATCTTATTTTCTATTTTCCTAACTAAACTTTCCTAATGTGATGTCACGCTATAAAATTCCAAAGTTTCAAATTTATAACAAAAGTCCAAATTTCAAAAATCAACTCTTACGATATTTTCCATAAACTAAAATCCAAAAATTAATACAGGAAAATTATATCGGATATAAATCCGACCAGTTCCGGAATCCGAATCCGAAAAATCTGGATTTTATAAAGATCACAGTAATTACTTATCAAGAAATTTCATATGACTACTACGACTACTTTTCTGACATTAGTATCGCTTAGTATTGACTGTTGATGTTTTAGCGTCAGGTTGTACAGTAACTGTACGATTATAGACTACATTACAGTACTTTACTGTCATGTTATAAATCCCCTTTCTCTATGGATAGGGTTTTGTTACTAAGTCAAATTCATTTACAATTTGAATAGACTATCAAACTCCCTTTCTTTAGATTAGGCAATTGCTCTAGGGCTACTTCTATAGCAATCTATATAATACCTTGTAAAATAATAAAGAAGAAAAGATGGCGACTTGATGATTTGGCAGGGTAAAACTTAAAGACATTATCACTTTATAGGTATTTTCTATAGTAAAATAATACTAGTTACATACTAAAAGCTATAAAGGACTCTACTTTTAGTCCTTTACTACAACTTGACTGTCCTTTCAATTCTGTTAATGCCAGAAAGGCTGCCCACTATCCGAAATTTTGCCAAAATTACGGTAGTCTCTCTAATGTAACTTTTCGTATTTTAGTGTATAAGATATATCGCTTTGTAATAAATAGGTTTTATTGTCGTTAATTCATAATCTACGAACTTGAAATTTGAGTGTATAAGAAAAACCAAGTTCCTAAAGAGTTACAAAGCGCACAGTTGCTACAATTAGCAGTAATCGCTAAATATATATTATAATTCTTTTTAGGACATTATGTCTCAGGTTTTTTAATTTCTTTCCAAAGTTAATAAATACAATTAATTCTGTCACTTATGTGTGCATGTTGGTACAATGTTATTCCGAACATCACTTTCGCTAAATATTACATCTGTCAATTTTTTTATTTCGTTATTCTTTTTTGCTTCGATATGAAAAAGTATTTTAACAATAGTAAATAGTTGGTTTCTTGCACCTGCTATACGTCAAACAGCAATGATTCATAGCCGCTGTATCGTTAAATCTAATATTTTTACATTAATGAAATGTTCAAAGTAATAATTTTATCACTATATTTTATAGATTAGGGGGTTACTAAAGGCACATAAATCATAATTCAGTTGCCTGCGAAGAACTGTTAGAGCAATACTTCAAAGAGCCCAATCAAATGAGCTGAAATATTGCCAATAGTTCGACTAACTTATTCCTACGTATATATTAATATGGAGCTTGATAGAATTAATTTTATAATCTGATCGAATTACCTGAAGCCTAATAATATTTGCTTTTGCGATAGAATTTTTCACTAACTTATTCTCATAGTAATCTAATTCTCACAAAACAACGGTCCATGTTTAAGTAGAATTTATAAAAAGTCTTTTATTATAGAATTTTAGAAAGGTAGAAATTAAATACGGTAATTAGTTATTTAAACAATCCAAGAGATCCATGAATGCTAATAAATAACGAGATCGTATCTGTAGCTCATAAATGCGTATTTAGCTCAATTTCTTTACGACGACAGGGCTGATGACAATCGCACTTGAATATTTCACAGAGCACTATTCCTCCGATGGATAATTAATATATCCTACCATACGAATCTACCCACTTATTATACGCTTAATTTACTTCCTTAATATGCAACACAATAAGGGGTTGGGAATCTTCACGGATACAGTACATCAATTTAGACAGACCATGTACCAACTTATATAATTGGCTATTATTAACAAACAACAATCACTAATATTGGCAATTAATACTTTTTTAAAATATCACACAATAACATTTTAGTAAAGTAACTCAACTATGTTAGGTATAGCAATCAGTAAAATCTAGTATCCATATACAGCTTTGATTATTTATTGACTACTAACAAAAACGATTAGGTAGATACATAAGCATAGTGGTGTACGTATCATCCTGTTGTATATATGGTGTTAATTTAGAGAAAAAAGTGTAATTGGTTAATTAAATATTCTTATCAGTCTTGATTACTGTAAATTGATGTCCTGAGATGATATTATTTTCGTAATATTTATCAAATCCTAGCAAAATTCGGTACGGCAGTAAATCTGGTATGAGACAATTTCTACTTATTTAATTGTTTAGCGACAAAATAATTTCCATTGTAAGTTAGCCTTATAAATATGATCATGCATAGTTATTCTTCCGAATTTACTTACATATAAGTTATAGAGCAACTATTAAGATTTCAATAATTTTTCCTAAATTTACTTCATTCTTTTCATAAATGCGTCATACTCTGTATCAACAATACCAAACGTAGATTGATATATTCGTGTAGCGTACCTCGCACACATCTAGGCGTAATTTTGACTATAATTAAGTAGAATTAGTATTATATCTCGACTTTATCAAGAATTTGTACGAGTATATATTTGAAAATCAGAGTCTGGTAGAAAACAAATTGGTAGGTTCGGCAGAAGTGACATGAACTAAACGATGTTTTCTGCTGTAATTGTGAAAGGGTTGTAATTTTCTAATTAGAGCCAATGATCTGTTCCTCACATTTAAATCAAACTTTAAATATATAAACGGATTGAGAATAACAATTGATGTTGTTATTGTCACACTAAAAAATGAAAATAAAAAGTGGACAATATTACTGTCACGAATCATCAACGTTGATTGCTGAGTAACCGCCATGCCGAAAATTGTAGCAAAGAATGGCCAACTAATCATCACGTAGGACACGGATATCCAAGTTAACATTTTCATAAATCGCTTCTTTTTAATTTGTTCAGCTACAATTTGCTTTTTAATACTTTCTCCAGGTCGTTGATATGATTTTTGAAAGGATATAATACGACCATAGATTAATAATATTAATATAGTTGGGATAATAAATGATATAGTGGCATGAGCTACTAAGTAGACTGAAACTGATGTAGTAATATTTGGGATATCACAGAGTAAATTATCACTATGGTGAACGGAAACATAATCTAAGATGGGAGCATTAGTAGCTACAGCACTAATCCATATTGCTATTTCGCCTAATACAAGCACATAAATCTTATAATTGCGATAAAATAATGATAGTGGCTTAATAATGATAAAATAGCGATCGATACCAATTAAGCATAAATTCATCATGGAAACTCCAAATGATGCAAATAGAAAAAATAATACCATACGACACATGAATGCACCTCCATTATAATCCAGATTTCGATTAGCGATTTGAATATAACCAGCTAATGATGCCATTGTCGATACAATATCAGATATAACCGAAATGCACATTAATTTATATGTCGTCTTCCGAAAATGTTTATCGAACAGAAATAGATAAAGGATAAACAAGTTGATGATTAATCCAAATATAAAGATTGGAATACCAACTACAGCAGCATATTGATATATTTGTGCTGATAAATTATATTTAAAGTTATCATTTCTTGAGGTATTACTCATATTCAAATCATATATCAGTGTTGAATGTTTTTACCGATAACCAGAACGAAAACTAGAACCATCATGAATCAAAGCGTAGGGCCACAGAATGTTGATTTATTCTTTATCATGGCCGATCAAAGTTAAGGAGGCAATTAAATAGAAATTTATCTCTAAATTAGAATTAATTAATAGTTAGTAACCGCTTTTCACAAAGTAAATTTTTATCTTAACATTTAAATCATTTCTGCCTGTCTATAGGTTGTTTCTGCTAGCTACGATAACAAATAAGTCTAACCGTTGATTAAAGTGAACGTTTGTACTTGCTGTATTTTTCTTGAATGAATGAAATAATTAATTGGAAATCTATCATTCAATAATTTTAAAATGATTAATACTGATAAATTAGGTCAGAAATTTTCAGTTTCAACTCATTTGAAATAATAGAGAAGTAGGAAGTTAGCGTAACTAGTAATCGAAGGATTGTTTGGCAATTTGCTCTATCCGTTTCCTATATAACTTTTTAACTCACCCTATCAATAGAACTTTAAAGGTAATAGTTTTATAATTTAACTGATGTTTGTGCGCCTAATTACGAGTACAGCTATTAAGTTGTTACATTTTCAAGTTACATATCACTAACTTATAGACTTAGGCCTTACTAAAATAATTATAACTGTTTCTTTATAAATGAAAGATGATAATATTTCATGATATAATTACCTAATATTTTAAAAGAGAAAATTTTGCTACTCGAATATCGCCAAAATCGGACAAGTTGAAGTGCACCATTTGGAGGGTCTAATTTTCCTACCATCTATAAAGTGGATCATATCATCGGGTGATCAAATTGGAAAAGATCTCTCCAACATTCTAGCGTGGATTTTAACGGCCTATTGTCTCAATCAAATAACATGCGTTATACCTGAAATATACATGTATAAATAAATGTCATTTCTTAATAACAATAGGAAAAAAGCCAATTGAAATTGTTTGAAATACGTAATTCAGATTGAAACTGTTTCATCATGTTACTTTAATGTAAATATAGTCGAAAACAATTCTAAAGGTATTTTTTATTATTTATATTTTTAATCTATATTTTTAACTCTATTTGATGTAAAAAGTCTTTCAGCTATTTAATGGTTGCTAATGAATTATTCCAAATATGACTTAATTCTAATTAATCAATTCAATAAATTAGTAGGAAAATAATAATTGTAATAATGGTTATGAATTGATATATAAATTCTATTCTAACCATAAAAGTGCACCTTTAAAATATATTCAAACAAGTCAATTACTTAAATTAAGATTGGCTAGGCTTACCAGTAGCCAAAAACACATTGCTAATACTAAGATTAAAATGTCGAATAACAGTGGCAATAATTCAATATCTGCATTAAATCAAATTTATCCTTGTATACACTGTATTTGGTGTTAATTTAATATGGTCTTATGGCGTAGTTATTCCCATTGATTATTAAGCTGATATCGAAACGCGGTTGTCTTAAAGTGTCTCCAAAATATAAAGTAAGAGCTACTATTTTAGTAAAACTATACTTTATCACATAAACTGGGTTCGATAACAATATTAAGTCTAGTCTACACTTAGCCCGTTGGGGCATACTTGGCTGTTGTAGCCTTAGTATTCGTACAGATTCAAAGACCCAGGTTTCCTTGTGGTGGGCTGAACACGACATATATACAATTAATTACAGTATTATTTTAAGCAAAAAATCATGTCTTGCAATTTAATTGCAAGATCGAGTAAAATTCGATATCATACAATCTCTGTTAACTGTTATTTCTAATGAAATCCTTAAGGTGAATTGTTCATGATACCAAATTAATTTGTAATATACCAATATCTACAAGCCCAATATATTCATCCCTATAAAAAAACTGCTAAACGTAGCGTGAGCATCTATTAAAATAAATAGTAGTACGAATTTTACCATCAAAGGTATCACTTTATCTATTCTTTATGATATCATTTTTATCTTAAGCTAGTTTTCGGGGCAATGCTAATGATTACTTAAAATTAATCAGTTATCTATCAATAGGACAACATCAAAATTATGTCAAATATTAAAGTATGTGTTACGATATTGTAATATCTTAGCCTGCAGCGGCTTAATGAAAACTATACTTTTAGAAAAGTCCTCCTAAAGTTAATCATATGGTAGAATTTTGCTAGCATTCTAGTAACGACGCCATCAATGTTCCAAGTACGCTAAATTATTTCACTGTATATAGCTTCACTGAGGATAAACATTATGATAGCATATCCATCTTGGCACAATTTTAAAATCTTATTCAAGTAGCAAAAAGAGAAATTTAATATTGGAAATTGACTTTTCGAAGGTTGCATTGATATTTTTACTATAGGCAATAGCGTACTGCAGTATTCTACTCAAAATCTTAAGCAAAGTATCACGACCAATAGGTTTAACGTACATAATTATAGGTATAATAAGCATGCGTATCAGCTGACGTAAGCTTATACTTAGTTACGGTTACAAGTAATCAATTTCTAGCTGGATATCGGATTAATTAATTTTTGTGTTCGTTGACAACACTGAACCGTTAGTACAGAAATAGCATATACAATGAACGGATAGAATATTATTCCCTATCTATTTATTATTAGCAAATAGAAGTAACACTATGTTATCATATTGAACATAAAATGCTAGCAAGGATAATATTACTTTTGTATAAGAATATCAAAAATTAATTTCGTAATATATTTTGGTAATGCAAGTATACGAGTATGATGCCGTCTTAAAATGTTGCTTACGTTAGAATAATCTGAGTGATCAATAGCATTATACTTGCACTTGTTAAAACTACAGTAATATTTAATAAAATATTTAGTTAACATCTTTCTAATCGAATTGAAAGCTTTTTAAGATTCTAGCTTAGCTAATTTTAATTTTAGATCTTGAAAATGCATTTTAGGAGATGCTTTAACGCAATTTGGTAGTATTATTTTTACTCTTCAATTACACTTGAACCTATGTTGAAGGCCGAAGTCTATTTACTAGAGCTCGTATATAATAAAGAATCGTTTTGATTTACTTATAGTGCAAAAGCAAAGATATTTAAATCATTTGAGATTAATAAAAGATTACGCTAGGACTGAATCATATAATCTTGATTTCTTAAAATTGAGCTAAAAACATTAAAATCTAGAATATTTGCTCGTACATTGTCCTGTCTTAAGAGAAGCAGTAACAATAATGGCACTTGTACTTTAATATCCTGTAGTCTATTAGGTAGACTCTATCATCTATTTGAATTTGTTTTACTTTAGATGTCAGGCAACAATATCCCCTACTTTACTATTGCTATAAAATTAATTAATTATAATCTTCATCTACTACCTGAATTTTATCATCCGATTACCAATAATGTTCATTTTTACTAATGTGCAAATTATTCAATTTTTAAGCCTCATTAAAATTTATAATGTTGACATTGGCACAATACTACAAAGATGTTTTGATTTTCTGATTTTATAACTTTAGCTGGAATAAACATATTAAATTGGAGTAGAAGAAGACTTACTATATAACCGATTTTGAAGGATAAATCAGATTTAGGGTCAATGTTGCTTGCCTACAAAACTTAGGTATTAAACCTGAGACTAGAACGTATCGAAAACATTACTACTAAGCAGACGTTACAATAACAAGTGACAAAGATCTCTAATATTTAATAGGTTCGTAGAGCTAGATTGAAAGTAGTTACCTGAATTTAAACACTGTCAAATTATAGCGCCGCGTAAATTTTAAGATTTCTTCGGTATGAACTAGCTGAGTAATACTCTAGTTATAAGTCCTAAGTACTTTAGAAAGTAATAATAATCTACTGTATATGATGCTTCTACAGTTCTAAGTATCAGAATAATTATCAGGTTTATCTTAGCCGGGTATCGTTTCTGGGTTCGACTGATTTTCAAGTAAGGAATGACTAGAAATAGAGTAGAGACTGTTAGATATGTGATTTGTATAAAATTGAGATCGATTGAAAATTGGCTAGGTCTGATTATCCGGTTTATTTTAGCCACTTTCGACTCTTCTTATGAGGGAAGAGAAGTAATTTGCGATGGACCTTTCAGAATGTAATTTACATAGCGGTTTAATAAACCTTTTGAATTTGAAGGCTATATCTATATTGGCTATTCTTGTTGTGAGACGAGATAGTGTTTTGCTAATTCTAGTAAATTGATCAAATATAAGTGAAGTGAAGTAAGAGAGATCTACACAAATATATAGTTATCAGATTTTCCTATATTTGCCAATTACTTTCACAGTTTGTCTAATAATACAGTTAATTACAAGTGCTGCAGACAGTCTTTTAACATTAAATTTATCAAGTAGAATTCTCTGCTATAGTATAGTCAGCGCCTTTCTAATACTTAAATCGAACTTAATACATAAAAACAGAATCAAAATAATAATTGATTTAGCATTAGTAAAGATTATTAATGAAGTCGGTATACACTAATAATGATTAGTAAGTTTTGTAATATACCGCAACTGTTAGAGATGTTTTTTATTACAGTAGTTTAGCAATGCTAAAATTCTTCATCTCCTTCTTTACTTTTATTTATCCCATTTTCCGTTTCTTTCCACTGAATTATTGAACTATGCTATCTTTTTACGCACTTAATAGGACTTTCAGTAATATCATAGCTAAGAAATTATTATTCTACAGTACTATATAGTAGTTTAACTACTACCTATACAATCTCCAAAAAATAATACTTGATATTCCCGAATAATGCTACATTAAAATTCAACTAC